TTTTTTTTTTTTTTTTTTTTTTAGTACAAAGTTTGGAACAACAGGTCTTCTGACCCCTGGTTTAGGTGGGCGTGTGGCTCTGCACATGTGAGGGACAGCGTGATTACTAGTACAGGTCACACAAGCGTGAGTGGCTCCACTCAACTCCTTCTCACATCTTGGAATTAGAGGAGATATTATAAACCACTAAACTGCATCTGGCCCGTGCAGTCCAAAATACTGGCTGCGACAGGCGAGAAGGGAGGAAAACCAAGGCCTCAATGCTGATTAAACCTAACCGTCTCTAATTGTTTGTTAAGCCAGGGATTTTCAGCTTCGCCAGTTCTCTGAGCTTCTGTCCTGGGCTGGGTTTTGCCCTTGGCCGCTCACATCGAGACCCAACCAGACTCCACTGCCTTTCAACCTTTCTGGCAGCCTCAGTCTGCAGGCCTCAAGCGGGAAGCAAGAAGTGGCTGAGCCAGGCTTCAGAGGAGCTGCCTGACCATGGGCGTGATGTCTCTGATGGAGGATGTTGAAAGACAGGCCCTGGGGTCGAGCCTCGGTCTGTAACACAGGCCTCCACCTCACTCCTGACATGTGTCTCTCACATGCAGTGGCCACTCCCACAACAGTGGGCAGATAGGAACCCCCATCACTGGAGACATTAAGCACAGACTAGAGGACCTGCTCCTGGGAGCGCCTAGAACAGGACTCTATGAGGGACAGCAAGGCCAGTGGGGACAGGTTCAACCTGAACTCTATCAAGCTCTGTTGTCAAGAAGACTGGGCTCACAGGAGTTAGGAGACCTGGGTTCCAGTACTGACCCCTTAGGCCTGTCATCTCTTCCCCTTTCCTAACTTCAGTTTCCCCATCTATACAATGATGGATTTATTTTATTTTAAGCTGTGAGAACCCTGTCTTCCAATGATATCTTATGTGGAATCTTACAGAAAGTAGGGAAGAGCAAAGCTGCTCTGGTTGGAAGGGGGTTGGGTCTGACTCCTGCCCACTTGCCTCCCCTCGCTCCCTCAATGCAACTCCTTGATTCCCGCTGGACGGGGTTAAACACCATAAGAGTGGACAGTCTCACGATCTTCCAGCTCCACCGTGCTGCCCCATGATCTGGGCAGGGAGGGCTGTTGCCTAACACCAGGCTGGCAGAGCTCCTGGCCCAAAGGGGTTGAGAGCTGCACTTCAGCCACCACTGACAGAAAGAGCCCTAAACTGTTGGTGAGGAGGGAACCAAGCATCCTGGGGCAGGGGAACCGGGATCATCTCCATGGTTACCACACAAAGCTGGTGTTATGTCAAAGGGCATAATCCACACACTGGATCCTCACAAGAGAGGGGTTAATCTAGAAAGCAGAGCCTACAAAGGGGAAACTAGACAAAGTGAATAATCTACAGAGTGCTCAGTCTCAACAAATTAATCCACAAACTGGATAATCCACAAAGAGGATAACCTATTGAGTAATCTACACAAGAAGAAATCGGCAATGGTCATCACAGAATGAAGCCACGGAAGGTCCCCGAGTCCCCCAGGTGGCCCCCCTACCACGCCGACAGCCCCACTCATTACTCACTCCGCCTCTGTCTCTTCCCCTTGATCCCCCGGCTGCCAGCAGTGAGATGCATCCAGCTCAGAACCAGGGCCACCACACACAGCCCAAGCCGCATAGTCACTCGCCAGCTCCAGGCCCCTGGTAGGAGGGGTGGTCTCTGGGGTGATGGATGGCGCAGGGCTGTCGCTAACGCCTCCGGGGCTGGGTCAGCAGCAGGAGGCCCAGAACTGGGCCATGTCCCAAATCCACCATAATCTCAGAAAGGGTGTGGAAAGCCCATAAGGCAGTCCAGAGAGTGTTTCTCAAAGGCAGCTAGAGTGTCACATGGGAAAACTTGTCACTTCAGCAGGGACACCTCCAAAACCCAACCTGTTGGGAGAGGAGAGAGAAGGATTATTTCTGAGGTACCAGGGTATCTCCCCAACCTATGCCTCCTACATTCCCATGTGTCTCTTATCCAGGGGACTGAGAACTCAGAATGTTGTGGACATTACAAGTTGCCCACCTGGCACCCCAGAGAAGAAATCTGCGCCTTTTCCTATCGTGCAGAATTCCCTGGGACGAGGGCTGGTCACCCAGGCAGCTGGAAGGCGTTGGACCTTCAAGCCAAGCTGTGGGTCACCGGGAACCAGCGGCCCCCACCCCTCCCAATGCCCGCCAGCTCCGACCAGCTCTGACCGTCTTCAGGTCTACCCTGCAGACCTCATGCTGCAGTAATATCGTGTCTCTTGAAGAGGAGCTCTCTGTCCTTCTGTGAGTGACCCCTCAGCTTTCTTTTCCCAGTGCTGAGTCACCCCGGTGCCTTTCACCTGTCCTGGAGCTAGAACAGTGGCCCCGGACAAGCCGGCAGACTGCACAGCCCTCTGGACTTGGCGGGAGGAAAGGAAGTGAGGCTTCCCTGGGCCACAGAAACTCTGACACAGCAGGCCCAGCAGGCCTGGCCTTTGTGAGAGGATGAAAGAGGCAGCTCTGCCCGCCCGTCAGGGGCACAGAGAATGGGGATAATCCCCCAGCCCAGTGAGAGCCAGGTCTCTGGGCCGCTGGCCTGGTGATGGGGGCAGGGGGAGCTGGTCCCTCCCCAACAGAATGTGTCTGGGAAGTTGGAGCCCTATCTGGGAGTCAGAGGATGAAACCCTGCTGCACACTCACAGGAACACGCACGCGCTCCCAGCACACCGCAGGGGCCGGCCCACACACTGCCCGGCACCCGCCCACGCTCACACAGGGACAGGGGGGAAACCGCCAGCCTTCAGGAAGCTTTGTAGATGCCAGGGAAGCGTCACCCTCCCATCCACTGGTTAGAGGCCTTTGGAAAGTCACTACGCCTCTCTGAACCTCAGTCTCCTCATCTGTAAAATGGGGATAGGTATGCCTGCTTCACAGGCTTGCTCTGAGAATTGGCTGAGTCTTGGCTTACAAATGAGAAATCTGACTTGCTGGAATGGAGGTGTCCCTCCCAGCCCTTGTCCCAATCCTCTTCCCCTTCGCCTCTCAGGGAGGCCCCAGGAGAGCCCACCTGCATGGGAGATAAATCATTATCCCACAGGGGAGCTTAGCACCTCCCTCCTTAGCCTCTCCCACCAGCTTTGAAGGCCAGACACACTCAAGTGGTTAAGCTGCCTGTAAGAAGTGTTTACACAAGGCTGATGGATCCCACCTGGTGCTAGGACCAGCCACCCCCAATGCCCTGTCAGCTGCCAGCCCCTACCTGCCCCTCCAGTACTCCCTGCACAACCTGCCAAAGCCTTCCCACCCTCCCCAGCCCCCACTACACGTTTCCAACACCTTCAGTTTATCAAACTGGGGTGTTCAGCCCCAAGTATATTAGTCTCAGAGGTTGGCCATAGAGCATGATAAGGGGCATAAACTTCAGAGTCAGGCTGCCTGGCTTCCCACGTTGGCTCACCTACTTATCAGCTGTTACCTCGGGCTAGTTGCTTAGCTGGTCAACTGAGCCTCAGTTTCCTTATCTACAAGAGGGTGGTTGTTTTTTTATAGCTTAAATGAGTTAATACATAAAAGTGCTTAGGATGGTGCCTGGCACATAGAGAGGGAGGACTCAATCATATTTGTTGTATTTTCTATGACCAAGACTTCATTTTGTGTCTACATTCCAATGGTCATCTAAGAAGCAATATAAACACTTTTTGTATCCTCTAGATATGTATCTTAACCCTGAGCGCTGTTATGCAATTTCCATATTTGCATTTATCTCTTCAGTTGATCAACTCGGCCCCAAAGTGATCACTCAAAGTGATAGGGTTAACCTTTAATTGCAGCGTTTCTCAAACTGAGGTCTGAGGACCCCAGGCAGATACACTGGACAGGCCCTGGAGGAGAAGACCGCACCGGACACACCTGGTGTTAAATCCTGGATCTGTGAGACTTTCTTTGGTCTCACTGTGGGATCAGTACTCCTGGGGTCCTTGGTGCAGAAAAGGTCTCCTATGAATATCTGCACTCCCTGTGTCTGCCTTGCACAGAGCCTGGCACTTCGGGGGTTAGTGCTCAGCAAAGGTCAGCTCCCTTACCCTCCCTCCCTTTACTTTCCTCTAACCCCACCCCACCCCCAATCCTCCCAGGTCTTAGTTTTCAGCCTAGCTCTAGCCATGCTCACCCAGTCCTGGTGACTGAAGATCTTATGGCCCATTCCCACCCGAGTCACCATCAAACCAGGATCTCAGCTGGGAAATAGGAAGGAGGACCCAGATCTGAGTTTCACTGGAGCAAATGACACTGGCCCCTGTCACCCATCACTGGATGGGGAGAGTTTCAAGCACTTAAACACACACACACACACCATCAACACTGAAAAAGACCTAAGAGTTCATTATACCAGGGGCATGAGCAACAGATAGAAAGGAAACCGAATGCATGTGTGCATGTATGTGTATGGGGGAGGGGGCGTGAAGGGCAAATGCCCCATCTAAAGGGAGCATATGCTGTTCAGCTCCAGTTGATTGTTATAACGGCTCAATTTGCCTGATCTTCGATTTTTTCAAAGTTGAAACTTCAGAATTTTATGTGAAATCTGATTTTAATAGCTGGGGAGAAACCCTGCAACACCAGCCCCCCCCCCCAACACACACACAACCACAGGGGCTGGGGCTGAGAGAGGAGATAGGAGCTGACGACTTTCTTTTAAGTAGCCTGCTTCATTTCTGTTAGTTCCTCTGCCTGATTTCCCTTGCCCCTTGGGCTATATGGCACAAGCAGTTCCTTTTTTGAGGCCCATTACTCTGCACAGGCAGAGCCAGCAGTGGGAACTGCTGGCAGTGATCAAGCTCTCAGGCATCCATGGGGGCGAGGAAGGGCACTTTTGTCTCTGCCAGGGTGGGAGTGAGGGGTTCACATTCATCATGAACCTGCACCACCTGCCATGGGCTAGGCGGTCATTCGCTCCTCAGAGAGGACAGTAAAATTCTTCCCATTTTACGGGCACTGAGAAGTCGAGGATCACCCGCTCAGGGACCAGCCAGGTTGCTGCTCGGGATTGGGGATCGGG